CTTCAGTTCCTGTCGGTGTGTGGAGGGTTCCAGTCCTGCCTTTAAATCTTTTTTTTTTTTGCTTCTTAACAGCCAAAAATTTTTTGCTTTTTTTTTTTTTTTTTTTTTTTTTCGTAGCAACACCGTCTCCTCCTCTTCCTCCCCGTCTTGCTACACTTGCCTCCCCCACCCCTCCACTCCTCTTCCTCCTCTCCTTGCGGCGCCTCCCGGGACTCTTCCTCCGCCAGGCCGCGGTCACTTCAGCGTGGATTCGTTCCGACACGGAGAGACTGTGTGTGTGTGTGGAAGAACCTGAACGTGATAAGAGCGTGCATATCCCCCTACCCCCTCCTTCACTTCCTCCTCCTCCTCCACTATCATCCTCCTTCATTTGTTCGGTCATGACGCTGGAAGCGATCCGCTACCGGTCCGGGTCTCTGCAGATCCTCAACCAGCTGCTGCTGCCACACCAGACCGTGTATGAAGACATCCGCTCCGTGCAGGGCGCCTACGAGGCCATCAAATCCATGAAGGTAGGCTCGCCTCGGTGCCTGCATGTGGCTGGTGTCGGCTCTTTTGTGCTCCCGCCGCCGCACACATGTGTCTCTGACGGCCTCTACCATATTTTATTGTTGTTGTTGTGCGTTCACCTGAAGCCGCAGCGTCCCCCGCTACCTGCCCTCCATTCATAGTTTTTTATTTTTATTTTTATTATTTGCGTTTATCGAGTGCTTTGAAGCCACACTTCTCCCTTTCTTTGGGAGAGATTATTGATGAATTATTAATGACCTTTGCCAGGGATTTTTTTTTTTTTTTTGTTCGCGTTTTGGTCCTGTGCTGCATTCAACGACGCCTCCAGCTGCTCCATTTCTGCGTTTTTGCATTCCCGAAATGTATAAAAATGCGACAGTAAATGCGTAACATAGAAGTTCCTGGAGATTTTTTATGAATTAAAGCGCAGCAGTTATTCACTCTTTTGTCTTTCCAGCTACACACACCGAGCAGGGAGTACTGGGGCTGATCCTGGGTGGGTGGAACCGCGGAGTGTGATAGGAGGTAGAAGTGATCTCACACAGGTGCATTTTTATAAATCAGAACGCCTTCAAAGAGTTCATGTCGGTATATCAGGTCGTTATCCGGAGGGTGACGTATTTGTGAAGATTTATTTCCGGTCGTTTTTGATGTCCGGGACAGATAATTAAAATATAACAGAGCCAGTAAATCATTTTTGATGTGATGCACACAGTATTGCTTATACATTCAATCACTGACGCCCTGCATAGGGACAGTAAGCCACAAAAGCACATTAATAAATGGATGTTTGGAGCGCTGTATATAATAAAGGTATCAAAAGGAAAGTTGAGTGGAAGGAAAAAAGTGCACCAGCGATAGGAATAACCACAGTTCTGGAGTAAAGTTTGAGGGAGCTTCTCAAGGTGTGGAGAGCCTCGACATGTCAAGGACATTACTACTGCATTACTAAATGGCGAAGGGAGAGAAATGACCAAACTGTGACTCGGTGGCCTAATTAATTTTTTCAGAGGAGAGTATATCTTGTATTTAATTTTAAATTTAGCTCCCAGAGTCTGGAGGTTTGGGACACGGACTTTCTCAGTGATCCTGAAATTTAAGTATTTAAAACGACAACAAAAAATACTGATTTATTGTTCTTATATTATCTACATTGAATTTTGGATATTAACTCGCTATAAGCCACAATCATCCAAACTAATTGAAATAAAACCTTGAACTATGTCATCCTGTGAGTAGTGAGTGTATGACTTTTGCTTTTTGAGTTGAATAACTAAAGTTAATTAACTTATTGTGTATGTGCTAATTTATTGAGAGGTCTAACTAGTATGGTCTCCTAAACTGCCAAAATTATCTACTATGTTCGTCATTTATCTACGTAATGTTAGATAAATGATGTCTTAACCTTTGAACATGCTGACATAAAGGAGTATTAGATGAAATGGCCACATGAATAGTAATTGGAAAGACCCCAAATGTAATTCTGTTTCACTGGGTTGGCAACCTGGACTAAAAATGCCACATTATCGCAGCCTTAACAGGACTAAAAACAAAACTGTATAAAACAATCTGGTTGCTCATATGTTATTTGCGTAGCTTCTCCTGGTAATTTAAAATGTATAACAGTGTTATACATTTGGTATAAATTTGGTATAAATTTATGTGACTTAAGCAAAAAAAAAAAAAAAAAACATGAGGATTAAAAACCCACTAATTATAGTTTTAAATGCTTATTATGCAGGATGTCAGTGTTTTTTTGTTTGTTTGTTTGTTTTTTTTTACCATAATGGAGTAAAACTGGGAGCTGATTTTAGCTTTTATCAGTCGATCTCTCTGCTGCTTGGCTAGCCTGCATTCTGCTGCTTTTACAGACATGCTAACTGTAGCTTCAAAACGGTAGTGACAGATTTTCCGATCGCCCCCGCTGCCTCTCTGACCAACACGTCTCGGGCTCGGCGTGACCACCGACCTCTCCCTCCCTGTCCAGGTGCGCGGCGCTCCAGCCATCGCCATCGTGGGCTGCCTCAGCCTGGCTGTGGAGCTGCGGGCGGGCGCTGGGGGCGACGACCCCGTGACCTTCATCAGGGAGTCTCTGTGTCACCTCACTTCAGCCAGGCCCACCGCCGTCAACATGGGCCGAGCCGCCCGCGAGCTGATGGAGTTCGCCGAGAACGAGAGCATGGAGAAGAACTCGGAGCAGCTCAGGGACAGGTGGGCAGGCGGACGAGTCCGTCAACGCGCAAAAACCTGATGTTCCTACGTTGAGTCCCTGTTCTGCTGCTGATCGTTTTCTGTGGCGATTTCTTAGGAACTATTGTAAAGTTAGGTGGTCTGTAAACACTCCAACCTGATATCTGCCCTCATAGTCTGCTGCAGAGTTGAGCTCCACTCAAAATCCAAATAAATGGAAGCTTGTCCTACAAGATGGCGGCCTTGGCGAGCCAACGTCACTCTGAGCTGTGAAAACACAAGGAGGGCATTAGTGAAGAAAAATCCAGATTTTCCCAAAAAAATTTGATCTTAAAGCAACAAAAAATTGATGAATTGGTTTAGTAATAGTGTTTAATTTCCCTTTGGTATGATAAAGTATTTTTAAATTGAACTGAAATCGGTTTTTATCACCCAGCCCTACTTAACACTTGAACAGAAAAACCCTTCAGGATACTGAAAATCTGCAAAAATAAAACCTGAAATCACATCGCACTGCTTTTGTGTGAAACCAGCAGAATTTAACTTCAGTGTGAAATTATTCGACTCCAGCTTTCACCTTCCTGGATTCTCCTGAAGTAGCTGCTGCTGCTTTAACACACTCGCTCATTCAGCACCAGCTCCAGGTGTGGGTTTGGGGGAAAAAAAAAAAAAACTGTTAATGTTATCAGATTTCTTTTTTTTTTAGAGCGCAAATTGGTAGCTGTGAGCATTACACTTGCCATGAGAAGAAATTTGTAATTGCCACAGGAAATGTCAGCTGCAGATTGTTTGTAGACAACAGCACATCAGGTTTGCCTCAGTTAGAAAAATAAAAATCACTCTTTCTCCCTTCGTTTGCTGGTAAATCCATTCCAATTATTTTACAGATGCATTTTTGTCTCACGAATCCCTTGTAATTGTGTCGTTGCAAGCAGTTTGTGCTGCTTTGTGTCAAACGGGTATTTGTGAAGGACGGTGGTCATGTGGAACCATTTTTAGTAGTAACTATTTCACCTGCAGTAGCTAGTAACCACAACACTGAAGCAGTTTTGAGGTTTTTGTGAGGGGAGGAAAGTCTAGTTAAGTGCTTGTCTTGTTTTGTTTTTTGTAGGAAAGGGATGTTATTTATCATAGATCCAAAACTTGAAAAAAGGTGTTGCACATTTGCTGTATTAAAAGAGCAGACTCTAGTTTTCAAATTCTTTTAGACTCTGTTGGACAAATTTACTCTCTTATTAAAACAGGATTTGGCTAACTTTCTTTCAAAACACTCTGGATAGAGCAAAGTCGACTTTTCAGTAAAAGACTGGATAAATTATTATTAAGGTTTGGTTGTAAAAAGACGAATTTGTTACTTTGCACTAAATATTTTCCATACACTTTCACCCTGCAGTGTCATCTCCTGGATCGAAGACATGCTGGAGCGCGACGTCAACGACAACAGGAAGATCGGCAACTACGGAGCCCAGCACATTCTGTCGGGCGTCCCGAGGGACTCTGTCACCATCCTCACGCACTGCAACACCGGGTCGCTGGCCACGGCCGGATACGGGACGGCGCTCGGTGAGAGGGGAGCTTCGGATCCGACGGGAGGGCAGACTGTGGACGTTTCCGTCTCTTAACGGCGGTTCTGTGTGCAGGCGTGGTGAGGAGCCTCCACGCCCTGGGCCGGCTGAAGCGCGTGTACTGCACGGAGACGAGGCCGTACAACCAGGGCTCCAGGCTGACGGCGTACGAGGCGGTCGCAGAGGGCATCCCTGCCACGCTCATCACGGACAGCATGGCGGCCCTCACCATGAGGGAAATGGACATCACAGGTAGGGACTCTCGAGGACGCCGTCTTTCATCCCATGACATCTCACCGACTTTTTTTTTGTCCTCCTCTCTCAGCTGTGGTGGTGGGTGCTGACCGAGTCGTCGCTAACGGTGACACAGCCAACAAGGTGGGCACGTACCAGCTGGCCATCGCCGCAAAGCACCATGGGATCCCTTTCTACGTGGCTGCACCCAGCACGTCGTGCGACCTGAGCCTCGAGAGTGGCCGGGACATCATCATCGAAGTGCGGCCCCCTGAGGAGCTCACCAGTATAAACGGAGTCCCCATTGCGGCGCCCGGTAGGAAACATTAACATCTCAACTTATACGGGACAGGAAAATTCAGTTAACAGGCTGTCCTTAAGTCTTTAATTAATGTATCTGAAATTAAGGCCTTAAAATGTCTTTAATTCATTTTTTAAAAAGAAGTTAGCCCTTCACATGTTAATCACAGGTCTTAAATTCTGTCTTACTTTCATATAATCTATGTTTTTCTGTCGCAGGACTTTTTCTGTCAGGAAAACGTTTGAGTCGCACTCAGACATCTTCAATGCGTTTGTTACTCGAGACGGTTGAAGCTATCAATAACTAGCTGCTAACATACTCTTGCTAGCTAGCTGGCGTCCTTCGCTTCTTTGCAAATTTATCGGCACTTGGCTAGATGGATTTCGTACATTTCTGTGGAGATGCAGGTCTGAAATTCCATTCGTAACTGCATTTAAAATGTCTTAAAGTCTGAAATTTGAGTTGGTGAAACCTGGTTAAATGTAAAGTTTCTCCACAGTCCTGACAAAAAGATGGAGTTTGCTTTTATGTTGGTATGTGTCGAAAACCATGAAGGGGAAGAAATACTGAAAAAGAAAAGTTGCTTTTTAAAGGATAAAATCTGATTCTAATGAAGGCAGCAGTTTCCACCTTGATTTATCAGTTGGACATTTTTTCCTTGATTTGTTAAACATTTTTAGCAAACTGTTGCATTTTAACCATCAAACTACAGGATTTTGACTTGCTGACACTGAATCGAAAACATCAAACAAAGCGCCAAAAACGCTGTTCTCAGGAAGTTTGGCCTTAAAAGCTAAAAGAAAATTCACAAACTGCATTTAGTCTGGGATAAGCTGGAGCTCAGTCTTTTCATGCCGATGTCTCAGACTTTGAAACGTCTCCACAGTTGAGTCGAGACTGGGGCGTTTTTGTGCCGAGTTGCAGACAAAGCAAATGCGTTGATTAGGTTGAGCACTAATGAGGTCCTTGGAGGCAAAGTCTGTGAGACGGGAATGTTGTTGTTTTTTTTTTTTTTTCTTTAGGTGAACTGAGGACAAACGATTCAATTTATTACTTTCTCATTATGCTTCACTGACATAATGCACCAGTCTCAATAAGGACGACAGACTGTGAGTGGCAGATTAGTGCTTCTTCATTTCTGAGCTCTTTATCTTTTCTGACAGCCATGTTACAGTTACAGTTTTAAAATTATTTCAAAATAATGGTTTGACATAAATGCAGTTCTTGTCAGCCATTGGTCAGTATCTGATTGCATGAAACAATATCATGTTACTTCTGTTTTTACACAATTATTTAAAAGGCATTACGGGATCTAGTTGTTTTTACGTAGAATAGAAGACTTATAGCTGAAAAACTTCAATGTTACTACAGCTATGTTGTGTACCACTGTCAACAGAGGAGGGAGGGGTCTTGTAGTTGGCAAGCCAACACAGCAGCATTCTGGGATTTGTAGTATTAGCGGTCCATGCACCGTCTACCTGCAGACATTGGGAATAATCTAATGGGTGAAAAATAAATAAGTCTTTTCCTATGCAGTATATCATAATCCATAAATATCAATGCTGTTTCAGTTTTAGAGGAGCCTGTCAAGCTTAATTTTATTTTATCTACTTAAAAAAACAATAGAAAGACCAGTAGTGATTTATTTTTCATATTTGAAAACTTTCAGGTTTTCTTGCCACATTTTTGAAACCTTTACCTAAGAGCGTTCTCTGTTTTTTTGTTTTTGTTTTCTTTTCTTAAGAATAATCAGCAGTTGTGTACTGAGTACAATAGACATCCCACTGTTGCCAACTTAGCAACTTTTTTGCTATATTTAGCAACTTTTCATACTCCAATAAAATGGTATCAATCGACTTTTCGGATACAGTTTCGGATGAGAATCCAAGTTGAAACCCCTCGACATTTTTTCCCATTTACGTCTTTTGTTTTACCTGTCCTAAGGACTACAGGAGGAAGTTAGCCAGTCACTAAATCTCAGAACAACGTTCCTGTAAACGATCTCAAACGAAGGAACTCGAACCAAGTGCAGGAAAGACTGGCAATGCGTAAGAAGAGCAGACATCTAAGTTAACCTAACGGGTCTTTAATTAATCTAACAGGGTCTTTAATTGTATGCTCCATTTAAAAAACATCAAAATAACAACCACCTTTTCCTGACTGCAGGTATCGAGGTGTGGAACCCGGCGTTTGACGTGACGCCTCACCAGCTCATCACCGGAGGCATCATCACCGAGCTGGGGGTCTTCCTCCCGTCGGAGCTCCAGGCAGCGCTCACCGGCCGCCTCACCGCTCTCTAAGGCGAGCTCCCAGCGCCCCCTGCTGGCTCCGGTGCACCACTGCACACTCACGTCACGCTCTTCTAAAAGACACTCTTGTCTTCACTGAGGGTGCACAGTTTGTGGTTTTACTTTGGTTTTAATCAATGCACAGTCACTGTAACGTGTCAGTGGTGCACTGTCTGAAAATCTTTAGTCTCTCTGCCAGCCGCAAACAAAATCGAAAACAAACGAACAAAAAAAAAAAAGGAGATTTTTTTCACTGCAGGGAGTTGAGAAGACATCTGCAGTCTCTCCTTACTTTTAAATCCTTTTTCTGTCATCTTCACGTCTCACTTTATTCCACGATTCATTTTCTGTTTGTTTTTTTTTTCTTTTCTTCCTTTTCAAGTCTTTTGAAACAGCTTCTGCAGCCAACAGCGCTCAACAGCTGGACACAGTTTAATTCAATTTGGCAAAATAAGCTTCTAGAGTCATAGTTGAGGAAAGAAGTAAAATAGAAATAAAAAATATAAAAAAAAACAAGGACACGACGTTTTCCATAACATATCAGTCGTGATTTCCAGAATGCTGCTACCTACTTGTAAATATCTATTCCCTGCCGGTAGTGTAAATATGTAGAAAACTAACCTCTGCTAGTAAAAAAAAAAAAAAAAAAGGTACTGCTATTTTAACCAAAAATATGGTTACCTAAAATCAAATTTGCCACTTAAAATGTTATATTAACATTTAATTTCAGTTATTCAGTGTAGAACTTTTTCACTATAACTAATTGAAATTAAAGATCGTAGATGTTTATAAACAGCCTTTCTTGGTAAAGTAATTTTTTTTTTTTTTTTTTTTTTCTTTTTAACCAGTGCGTTTAGATATTTGAACCAATCGGCTGAAGCCTTTTACAGGACATGGCTGTATTTATACCTCACTTCATGTCTTCATCTCACTGACTGTACTGTATTATATCACACATGTATACTTGCATAATACCTATAAACACACACACACACGTGTCCTGACAGACGACTCTACTCTAGAGACACAAACACTCTGAGCCTGGGGCTTTTTTTGATATAATCCTAACTTTTTAAAGGAATAGTTCACTCTAAAATGGAGGTCTTGGTTCACTACCACTTCACCTGCATCTTCTTGTCAAATATTATTCGATTATTACTCGTGAATTATGTGCAGTCAGTTTTTTTTTTTTACTTGGTAGCAAAAAAAGAGAGAAAACAGCGACCTATGGCTTTAATCTTAATTTTGTTCACTGGTTTCTGTCTTTCAGCATAGTTTTGTACTTTAATGCCATTTCTCTGTTACTCTTTATCATTAGACTTTTATTTTTAATGCAAGGTTCTAGTACGAGTAAAGATGGACAGATTAGTCATTTTCTTCAGTTCATTAAGGTCTGACCTGCCAATTTCAGTTCTTACTGGTTATTTTTAACTTTCTAAAGACTATAAAAAATAAAAATGTAAAAACCTCTGAAAAATTTGTATTTTCAGAAAACTTAGATTTTAATCCAATTAAAATTGAAGCAATTATCAGCATTTATTCGTCAAAGCTGATATTCCTTAACCTTTTATCTGATTTTAATTAGTCTAAAGAGAGAACTTCTGTGAATGGACGTTCTTTTTGTTTGCATTTATAAACAGAAAATGATGAAATATTCTAATAAATGGATGTCTGATGGGCAGATCCACAGGACATTTTGGGTTTAGGTGCCCAGCAGCCCGTAAGCGCTTCGACTGGAATCAAACCCACAACCGTCTGAATGCGAGTCGACTGCGTTCTTGTTGGAAACGGATAAAAAGAAAACTTTTTGAGTCACCAAACAAGTAATGGATCATTTGAAATGAAAACACACCCTGGAGCTAACATGTAGCAATTTCCTCTATGGCCAATGAAGTAAGTAATAATAAAGAAAAATACTTTGTTGGATTTAATGAAGTGTTGAAACAAGTTTTTTTTTTGTTGTTGTTGTTTTTGGGTGTTCGAGCTGTCGAGCAGAGGAAAAATAGTCAGATTGTGGCAAATTAATTCAATAAGCTAATGTTGCCTTTACAAATTACTAACAAGCATGATTAATCAAGATTAAATTTGAATGCAGTTTAATGGAAAATAAATGTTACTTCCTGTTCCTTTAATACAGGAATCGGATCTCTGCTTTAATACATTTTCACTAATCTGGCCACACCGACTGTAGAGCCGATGGAGAACAGAAAGCAGGTGTGAGTGGTAGATGCCTCCGTCTTTATGTGGCCGTGAACTTTTCCTTAAAACGTTTCCTTATTTTTTGTTTTGTTTTTCCTTTGCAGTATTTGTAAAAAAACAAAAACAAAAAAAAGCATTGCAGCCAACACAGAAACGCCATCTGCAGTCTGAATGTAAAGCCTCTCTCTCTTTCCGCCCGACAAGTTTCAGTCGGCGGGCTTCAGACTCTCGGTCACTTCTTGCCTTTCTTGTTCCCTTCAGAATGTGCTTCAGCTGTTTGGATTCAACCCGCCTCTTAAATTTAACTGATGTTTTTTTTTTTTTTGAAGTCATGTACAAGTCTAAACCTGACGGTGTGAAGCATGAAAAAAAAAAAGAAGATCTTTTCCATAGTTATTGTACGATATGTTTAGGCTTGGCATATTTTCGACAACTTAAGATCACGTAGCGCTGATATCGTATAGAAAAGTTAGAGAGATTTGGTAAAGATATATTTACAAATTTTCTAATTTTGTATTTGGCAAAAACAGTGAGTGCATAATATTTGCTGACTTTAGTCAATTTTGAGCCTAATTTACTGTGTTCACCTTAACATGAGACCTAAAGATCTCTGAACCCAGCAACTTACCCGACATGCATATATAGATATTTTTAGCGGTTATTCAGAAGTGGTTGCAAGTTTTCCCCGCTCCAAGAGCGATTCGGGTGCTGAGAAATCCTTTGACGTGTTCAGCTGATGCTGCAGTTCCTACCTCCCCCAAAACGCTGCTTGGTGTTGACAGAGAGGTCAAGAGTTTCACATAACGTGTGCTCAAAGGTCATAAGAATCAAACAAAGTGGGGAAAATGAGGAAATTTGGGGTCGGCTTCAATTTCAGATTCAGTATCGTCTCCACGCATATGAAACACTGCAGGAATGAAACGTTTTTCTGGTAGGCTGCATTTGTAATTGGGCGGGGGGTTTTGTGCATATAATCAGTTTTAATGCATCAAAGTCAGGGAGGATGAAATGAGGATAAATAAAATCTATCACTTACCGCCTGTCAGCCATTTTGTTTCTTCAGGAAGGTTAAATTTTTTTTAAACAATTTGGTTAATTTTCTGAGCTTTTGTCTCCGTGTGTGCCACTGTGATGTAGTTTATAGAAGAGGGGGGAAAATGATATATATAAATATATATACGAGAGGTCAAACCCTACAAAGTGAAGCTTTTATTTTAACAGCTTGTGCTACCTTTGTCTAATTGATCGCTAAAAGGAAAAATGTGGCTTCACTTATTTCTTGCTTGTATTTTTGCAAATGATTTGAACACTGCAAATCATGTCAGAGCAATTATTAGATATATTTTCCCTTAAGATCTCAACATATCTGAAAGAGGCTGTGGGAAAGATGCTTTCAACCCGCAGGAGCTTTTATTTTTTATGTCCAAACATAATGTCAGCTATCTAAGAAAGCTTTTCCTTTCAAAAAAAAAAAAAAAAAAAAGAAATAACCCTTCCTCTAAGTTTGCTAAAAGTTGTGTTGATAGTGGACTTTTGTATTGAAAACCAGCCCACTGTATCGCTACAGGAAGACCAGGATCAATGGCTTCATTAATGATTAACACAACATACTTTAGACAATCAGTCTGTTGCTGTTTCACTACACACAACTGGAAAAAGTTTTGACTACATGTGAGCATTATATTATTTAAAAAAAAAATGAAAGAGGGGGGGAAAACCTCTAGACCATAACCCTAATAGTGTACATTTCTACTGTTTCCATATTAACTTGCAACTTTAATTCACAGTTTTTTAATCCAAAAAAAAAAGATGAGGAAAAAAAATCCATTGTTATTCACTGTATCCATCACCTGATTGATTATATATTAGAAAACTGTAAAGTTGTCTCACTGCGTTTTTCTCTCCCGTTAAACCTCGGCACATAGAGTTGGGTCACAATGCGAGCGTAGAAAACTTCTAAGCAAAAGCTTGTTTTCTGTTCAAGACACGTTTTCTGGGGCGTTTCTATGACGATGCTCCACACGTATGTAGCAGCTATGAGGCCATCAGATCCGTCGCAAACAAACCCGTGTCTTTTTCTTTTGTAAGCGGTACAAGGTCTCCTCTCTGTCTGTCCACAATAATTATACCCGTCTCACTGTGGTCTGTTTTTCATTTCCTGGTTCTCATCGTGACTCTGTGTGAGTAGGCCATCGGAGCGCCATGCTGGGGAGGCCTCCTCAGTCAAACGCACTACCTCTCAAGCGCCAGGCTGCAGCAGAGCGAGCCGATTCGAACAAAACAAATCTGGACTGAAAGTCTGATCGGATCTTTATCCCAAAGTGAAGTGTAATTTTGTGGCTAGATTCTGAATCAACTGGACTTTAGGCTAGATTTCCTTTTTTTTATTTTTAAACATGTCCTGAAGCTGCGTCAGTACATTGCAGTGTTTGATAGATACACCGAGATGTCCTGGTGCCAAAAATCCATAGTTTCCACGCTGACTTCACTGATTTTAAAGTAGCTGCTCTTGTGTTACAAAAAAAGGAATTAAAATAGATGGAGTGTTGTTCAGATGGCCTCTTTAAGTGCAAGTTTTTCATTATTGATAATCACTTGATCTCTGTTTACGTTTGTAACGTGGAAATGGTTCCAAATTGGATTCTTCTTTTTTATATATAAATATATATATACATATATGAATATAAGGCTGTCATGAATGAAGAGATTTCTCTTTCACATCAATACAGAAAAAGAATAAAACCTCAGTGAAATGGCATATTCTCCCTTGTCTTTTTTTTCCTGACAGTCAAAATTAAATTCACAAACGGGTACCAGAAGGACTGCATACTTGTGCATGCCAAACTCAAAAAAAAAAAAAAAAAAGTTGAAAACAGTTGTTTCCTTCTACTTTAAAGTTATGCACCACTTTGTCAGTCTTTTAAATAAATCCCAATAAAATACATTGAACTTTGTGGTTGTAATGTAAAAAGATGTCTAGAGTTATGAATATGTCTACAAGAGACTCTGTGTTAGAGTTTAAAAGACATGTTGCTTCAACCATTCAACTGAAATATCAACTTTTAAGTGGAAAAAGTAAGGAAACAGTCAGCTTTAGGAAAAGTAACTGCTAATGTGTATAGTTACCATTTGCTTAAAGAAACAAATGGTACAGATCCTTAATCAATACTTTAGTGACTGGTTTTCAGTTTTAAAAAGTCAAGTTTTGTAGTGCAGATTTACAATATTCATGCTAAGGTACTAAATGAAGCAAACATGTTGGTGTCTTTGTTCTCACACAGTGGTGTTTACCTTGAAACTTTACTGATGCAGATTTTCTCTGTTGTTGAGTCATAATTTCTGAAAACAGAGAGATCTTACTCTGGTTGTATTTGTCTGATATTAAAATTTGTTTAATCTCAAACATTTAAGGGTGACAAAAAGCAAAAATGGAAGGAATAACCAACATACCTCTCAGTATGTTCCTCACCCGTTCAGTTCACTGTTCATCAGACAGCATTCATACCGATGATTGCTTGGGCTATAACATTTCTGTATACATATAATTAAAAAAATAATAATAATCTAAATAAAAAATTTAAATACATCATCCAACAGTTAGTTTTGTTTGTTTGTTTGTTTGGGGAGTTTTTTCGAGAAAAGAGCAGAAAACTCTAAACCCTGGGATTTGAATATCTCCTGTGTGACGCTAACTAACCAGCAGGGGGCGGTAACCGAACAAAGACGGACGTAAAGCGCCACGCTGTGACACGAAGAAGGAGTTTGTGTTCTTTCTGCGTAAAAATGGCTCAAGGCTCAAAGAAATTTAAGGCTCAGCGTCCTGGAGGGTCCAAGAAACACCAACAAAACAAACAAAAAGGACCGAAGAAAGGAGGTATGACTCTGTTGTTTCAATACTTCTTTTATTTTAGGTCTGGTAAGTGAAAAAGAACCGGAAATGAACTAAACATGTGACCAAACACGTTGTGTTAAGTGTAACAGACGGTCTCTGTGACCTGTATTTGTTTTAAACAGTTTATACAGTTGATATTACTCTTATTAGCTTATTGGTAAAGGCATGTAGGATGTTACCCTCTTATACTGAAAAGCAAACAGTAATTCAACATAACGATGTTCACCTACATCCTTATATTTCTTCTAAAGGGAGGATTATCGCACCCAAGAAGGCTCAAGTGGTTCAGCAACAGAAGCTAAAGAAGGTGAGAACATTCTTCAGTGTAAACATTTTGATCTCACTGAGGTTTCTTAAACTTTCATTTTAATTCTGCCGTTCCCTGAAGGGTCTGGAGGTTGCTATCAGGAACAAGATTGAGCAGGAAGTGACCCAGAAGGCCAGCTCCTCCCTCCACAAGCCCCTGGCTGTTGTTAAAGGTGCTGAGGGGAAAGGAAAGTCCGCTGCTGCCCGCCCTGGAACCAGCTCCAAATAAGAACCACCACCGCCCGGGTCTCATCAGGTTATGGACTTTAATGGAACCTCTGCTGGGGCTGCAGAGAATTCATTCAAACACAGTGTTTGCTGTTTTATGTTCAGCGTGGTTCCATTTCCCTTCAGTCACTTTATAGTGTTTGTACAATAAAAAAAAAAAGGTGAGATAAATGTTTTGTGCTTTTGTTTTCCGTATTTGTTTTCAGCCTGGATATTTAGATGTTTACAGAAACGAACCTGCACAAGTACATGATCTGTACCTGAAGCTAAAATCAGGTACAGATTATAATAAAGAAGAATGACCTCTGATGGTAAACCAGCGATATGGCTGAAAAAAATTTATCACCATATATGATACATTCATCATATAATCGTGATATATGGAATTCATATCAGTTAATGTTAATTATTGATTAGCAGTATTTCATAGGTTTAAAACCTTTCCTGTTTTATCCAAAGTTTTCACTGTCTTTTTTTTTTATTATTATTTTTAAGCAGTTATGAGGCACAGTGGCGAAACATGAAACTGCTGCTGCAAGTTACTCAACGGGTTGTTGCTAAGCAACCAAAGAGTGAGAGAGTTAGTTGATGCCACCACTCTTGCTTAGCTTAGGTTGAGCAGCTAAAGCCTTTCCTCAGCCTACATCCCCCATCCAGTTCTGGCTCCGAGTTCTGTGAAATGACTGAAAAATCTGACATGTTATCTACTGAAATTAATCTCGTGTCTATCGCTGTATATATATGTATGTTATTGGATTATTGCCCAGTCCTAACCTGTGTTAAAACTTAATATATCTGAAATGTTATATTTGCAATTCTATCAAATTAAAATTTATTTTGGCAAGTGTATCTATTCAGTAATGTTGAATAAATCACAAGATGGCTCATTCAGAGATTTATATAACCCACTCTTTATTTCAGTCTTTGTAAATGTTAGTAGCTTATGCAGTGCAGAGGGGGAAGTATTTTTTATTTTTTTGCATCTACATTTAAGCATTATAATTATTATGCTACTGTTTCTGTTGCATGACTAAACATGTTGCTAAAATAAATTGCACATTACAGTCAAGTCCAGCAGAAAAGATCAGTTTCTGAAGCCGTTCTCAGCTAGGAAGCTTAATAAGCCTTGATGGCCTCTGCACAGTGGTGAGAGCGGAGAAACCGAGGGAAGGAGTCCTTGGCCATCAGGCTGTAGATCCTCTGCTGTGCTAGGTTGAAAGTGTCGGCACACAGCGAGTCCATCATGCTCAGCAGAGCCTCACGGGTCTCGGCATCCAGGTTCACCTGAGATGGACGAAAAACTGGAGGTCAAAACAGGCTTGAAGATTCATAAATTTTTGGCGCTGCGCTCCTTCACTGACTTCCAGTGGAGCATCAGGGTTGATGAACTGGTTGTAGATGCTGCTGGCTTTGGTCTTCTGCATGTTTGAAGGGGAAACCCTGTAGTCCTCACAGGCCAGCCAGAATTCCAGGTTCTCCTCGCTGAACTCTGAACGCAGGAACCCTCGAAACGCCTGAAGACCGACTGAAAGGACAGTGACGCAGTTATGTAGAGGCAGCAGCATCAAGAAGGCATCGACCTGGAGGGAAAGCTTCCACAGACTGTTGTCGAAGGTAAGAGTCATTTTATATTTTCATTTAATGTTTAATCATTATACCATCAGACAAACCACAATATAAAGTTATATTCTAGCATTTTAAATACCAAAATAGCAAAATCAGGCCTATATATATATATATATATATATATATATATATATATATATATATATATATATATATATTTAAAAAAATACTTCT